GCTGACTGAATTTTAAAAGGTCCACCATCTAAAGCGTAGACTTTATTTCGTAATTTGTATTTGTATGTAACGTTTTTAAGCGGAATTGATGATCCCAGTTACTTTTTTTGGAACTGTCTCGGTTGTTGGGATTGAATTGGAGGAAATAAACTGAGTATTGTCGTTCATATTTGTCTGTAGGTTACGGTGGTTCTCCTATTTTATTTCCTAATGCTCATGTGAATAGTTAGAATTGTTCTTGGAGTTTTTATAAATTCGATTAAATATAACTGAATGCTCATGATGTACTTTCAATAAAAACATATATACCGTCATAATACGCATGAAAATACCCCCAAATAAATATATATGCTCATACATATTGTCAATGTACTCATGAAGCGTGCGTTCGTTTATGATTGTTCCACAATCCAAATTTTAATGACACACACTGCTTTGAGGTGGTAAATTAATATTTTATGATTGTTTAACTTTATCCATACCTAAAGCTAAGTTAGATGATATAATGGACTTAAAAGATAAGTATTAATAGTCTTACAATTTCGACGGCAATCTCATGGAAAGTGTGACATGATTTGTTGAATATATGAGTAATGCTTGAACTTTTCAACAAAGTATAATAGAGGGAAAAAAAAGGGTGTGCCCTCATCGAGTTCCTTTATACCCTCTATTTTCAGAGAATTGACTGCCTCTGTGAGAAATCAATTACACTCAAAGATACCTAGTACTTGACACATAATACCTTAGAAACAATTATATATACCTCTATTGTCAGTGTTTATACCCAGTACGCATAGTTATGTAACTACATACACTATCAACATGTCGTTGTTTATTTGTTGTGTACCTATATTACGATATCAAATACTCCGAAAATACGTACTTATACCTTAGTAACCTCTACTAAAAAAATCGATCATATTGAGTATCATATACTCACTTGTAAACGGTAATTGATGATTAATTCAACATGATAGTATTCTTGCAACTTCCAGAAAAGTATGAAATGACAAGCACCACACATTTACAAAAATAAAAATGGGGAATATTATCATATATACACAATAAATGTTATAAAGAACTTGTTTAAAATATTTTTCATTATTAAGCTACATTCGTGTTGCTATGAAATTAATAAATAGTTGATGCAATCTAAATTCACATTGACGAAGTAACGCAAGACAAATGTAGTATTTACTTGAAACAACAAGTTGTAATCTACTATTAAATTTTAGTTTGTGACGTGGCCCCTCTGTCAAAGTATCGAATGAAATCAACCACATTTATGGATATCTACTACTACACAGATAATATCTAAACAACCACCATTCATACATTGAATGTTGGTGTTTATATATAGAGTACATACTTACATATCTGCATCAAATATCGACATACCTTGGCGCAAATCTTACGTACCTATAATATTGGTGTCATATGCTTAAGTAATGAGTATATATACCCTGATAACCTGTGCTTAGGAAACTGACCATTTTCGGTTTGAAGTATTCGTTTACTATAGGTAACCAGTGATGAATTCATCATGATAGTATTTTCGTGACACCCTGAATTGTTTGAAAAGGTAAAAAAACACATATTTAGTATATATGGCTAAACAAGTTAGTTAAATTGTATGATATATGTACAATCATAGTTTCAATCTCCATTTGTAGATGGTTAAACAAATCATAAATGACTAAGTTGAGTTATGTTGATTGTTAGATTACATGATTGCTACCACAAATTAAAAATATTTGGACATATTACATAGTAATTCACATCATAGCACACACAACAATATTCGGTCATGAGCATACTTGCATGAGGCATGACTCGGCTAATTTATTTATGTATAGATGCACCTACACAATTTAAATGTAACAAGTGATTGTCTTTCCTTTGTCATCACATCTTTGGGTGGATAATCTATTGGCATGGGTTATTCATTCTTCAATTTGAGATCCAATCTATTGGCATATAAGGTCATCTACGTAGCTCAAAAACTATATATCGTGTATTGATTGAAAATTACGATAATAATGTAAAAAACAATGAAATTTATATATGTCAAAACTTGTATGATTCTATATACTCTTGTTCATTGTTCATATACTTCCATTTAAATTTTATATATGTATGTCATAATTGTACATTCCTTTATAAATATTTCATAAACCTCTATTTGCTCGATAGTAACCACCTTAATATATCAATATACTTACAAATAATAGTTAAATGACCACAAAAAACAAACATGAACTCCAACACATACAAACATATTTCATAAAGAAGCACAGTAGACCATAATAACATTGGAATTGTTGAAAACAATTCCTGGAAAGGCATCCACTGATTTTGGCGGATGAATTTCAACAACCCTCAAGTTGACCTAATGCAATACCATCAGATATTGCCAAGCATGCCGGGAAAATAAGATCCAACTTCACACGAATATTGTTCAGAAAGTCCTTACCTGCAACAAAGGTGAGAGTGCTATATAGTTACAATTTATAAAGAAAATCAATATGAACAATTACAATCACAGTTGCAACAAAATTTTAATTCAATAGTTTTCGAAACAAATTAATGCCAGTGAAAAATTATCTATGACTGAAATCTCTCATGCAAATTCACCAAAAGTTTACCTAATTTTCTTTTAACATCATCAATTTGGGAACTTTAAACCAATTCAATCGATGTAAAAATTATGAAGATGACCACTCTAAGCTTAGACAGTTATAAAAAAATTAACAGGGCAACAAGTCGCATGTACTGGTTGTTTGCTATTCTTGCCAAATATTAATAGCCATATGTATAAATCTATCCAACTCATAATCGAATTAACTTAAGACTAACTTATATTGGCATAGATCAAAGCATCAAATTCTATATACATCAAACAAATCGAACAAGCCGCAAATCAATGACACAATCTACTAAGGAATTTCATCAAATAAGTTTTGTAGCTACATGTTAATGTATTCCATTAGAACTTATATTTTTTTAAAAAGAAAATTTCAAGAAACTAATAGTTAAACTATCAATTTTTCCCCCTCTTCTTTAAAAAAAAAAACCAAAACTCCATGTTAAATACATAATACAAATCACTCCTTGTCAAAAAATTTAAAAGAAAAAAAAAAGAATGAGAATACAAAAATACATAAGTAGCGGAAGTGTATCCAAAAACCTAAACTAAATATAATTGCCTTGAAACTGAAATAAAAAAAATAGAACAAAAGACAAACACAATATAAATTTGAGAAATAGGAAACCAAGAAACAAAAATAATAAATAAATAGAAAAATACTTCCTTTACGATTGCATATATTTTAATCGATGATATCGAAGACAACCGATGACGAAGATTATCCAGCCCAACGGTTTACCGTGGTACTCTGCGCATCTTCAGGCGGACAATTTTAGGCTTCATCAACGCTGGATTGTTCGTCTCCGGCAGCTTGTTGTCGTCTCTTCGACATTTAACAGATCGACAATGCGTTGTCTTCAGGATTGGTGGGTTCATTTAAATATTTTTCCTAGGCTAGATTAGATTGCTATGATAACCACCGGGATTCCTTTCAATACATTTTATGATTGAAGTGATGTTGTGGCTATGAGAAAACCAGTGATTTTGGGGTTGAAGTGGATTTCGCGCGAAGCAAATCACAGAAGAAATGACAAATATGTAAATGAAAGAGATGAGGATATAAAAGACTTTTCACACAATCAAGGATAATAATGGAAAAAATAAAGAATGGGGAGTAATTTGCAATTGAAATGTAAAAGTAAGGGTTGCAGTGTGATAAATTTATAATAGGGACTGAATCACAAGTTATTTTAGTGCAAAGGGATTTAAATCCAATTATCACTTTTTTTTATTCTTTGATATGCATATTGATATATTTTTATTTAAATTTATTTTTTAAAAATAAATAATTTTAATGTAAATATAAATATATAAATGTATTTTTATTCTATATTTTTTTTTTAAACACAAAATCCAAATAGCATTGCAAATTACCAAATCCTAGGCTTTCCTCAAAAATTTACATTAAAAAATCAATGGCTGTAACAAAAACACAATATCAAAACCAATTCCAATCTTGCAGTTTTAAATCAATCACCAACTAAAATTCCAAACTAGTCATATTAAAAACATACTCCTTCCGTCCCATATAACATGGGTGTATTAGTGTAGACACGGGAATTTAGGTAAAGTATAATTAGTAAGTAATTAAGAAGTGTATTAGTAAAAATAATTATTATTTAGTAAAAATAATTATAGATTAAGATTAAGATAAGTAGATAGTTTAATTAAAATTAAGAAAATTTAAAATTTAAAATGTGATTAAAGTGCATAATTATATTTCCAAAAATAGAAAGGACAAATTATGTGCGACTTATGAAAATAGAAAATAGGGACAAATTATGTGAGACGGAGAGAGTATATAAATATAAATATGAACCAAAATCTTGCACTGCCCAAGACTAGCAGATCACAATACGGCGTCGTTTTAGCAAGATCAAAGCATTCAACAAAGGATCTTCGTAGATGTATTTTCCAGACATATATATATATATAATTCGACAAAAAAATAAAAATAAAAATAATGCATTGTATATATAAGTTAATATTACGATAACCTATACCGAGAACACTGAACAATATAGTATATTGTAATGTATTCTACGGATATTGTATCAAAAATTCGATACAACAAATATAATTATTGTACCTTACCAAAAATTTAATATACTGAATTGCTCGTATGGCATCGATATATAATGTTTCATAATTAAAAATTATTTTATAAATTTATTTTCTTTTAAAAAAAATAATTTTGTTGTCAATATTGAATTTTTAGTTTATACTACCAATATACTAAATATCAAAACAACACACAATATTTATGTATACAATAGCATTACCATACCGAAAAAAATTAGTAGATACCTTACCGAAATTTTTGATAATTTTGATATTTTTTCAATGGATGCAGTTTCCCTGCGGTTGAATTAAACCAGCATGATAATGATTTGAGTCAATCAGTATTTATAAGAAGATAGACAATGCATGCTTCTACAGTTGATATGATACATTGTTTACTTTTATTATATACGCTAATCGGATAAAATCAGCATTGATTCAATTAACGGGGGATCCACTTCTTTTTTTCGATACCGTATGCTCGATATTTTGATATTTTTTCCTATCCCTAGCTAATATGCGGGTAAGCAACGAAATGTAACCAAAAACTTCTACCTTGGAAAAGTCCATATGAGCAAATAGATTAAATTGCACCTTTAGAAGGGAATTTCCCGCCTCTCGGAGAAGAACTTTCCACTGATGAATTGGTCGGGAAGCAAGGCGAGCCAAACGGCGGTGTCGGCACCCTCCTCGGGGGTCACGTGCCCCGCCCACCCTGTCATGGCCGTCTTCACCCACCCGGGACAATAGCAGTTGATGTATATCTTATGTCCTTCCGGTCGCTCCCCAAATTCCTTCGCCATCACCCTCGTGTACGCATTCACCGCCAATTTTGATAGCGAATAGTCGGTGAAAACCGGAGGCCATCCTCCCTCTTTCCAACTACCATCTTTAACTTGTTCCAAGAATGTGTTCACCATTTCATCGATCAATTCTTCCGATACCGACTCCACATCTTGCAACTTCTTTTTCAGCTCATCGTTTTCGAGTCGCTGAAAAAAAAAATTGTATAAAAAAGGCAGAACAATCGACGTACATTACAAAATATGAACCTAACAGGGTTATTTTCATGATAACTGATTTGACAAAGTTAGCATATTCAATCAAAATAGACAGCACATGTAATATAATATACAATACATATTTTAACGACATATAATATAATTCAACATAGCACATTGTACTATTAATTTTAGCGCTAAAATATATTTACAGAGTAAAGTACAATAGTGGTCATATATTCTATGTTCTATATATAAACATATGTTGTGTGTCTGGTGGTTAAATTTAACCAAATTAGCATCCTAACCGCTGTCATAAACTTAAATAGACTTACGTGTTTCTTTCCATTCACTCTTCCCAATTTGGAACTGACATTAACAATACGAGAACCGGCGTCCGAAGGTCTCATAAGAGGGACCATTGCCTTGATCATATTTTTGGTCCCAAAGTAGTTTGTCGCCATAACTTTCTCTGCGAATTCCACAGAATTGTCCGATCCGGCGTTGAAATTTACTCCGGCATTGTTTACCTAGAGATTGTATTGCATATACACAACATATATAGATGACCAAATTTCACTCTGAAAAATGTTTAAAAAAGAGAAGAGCAGTATATACCAATATATCGAGCCCCCCATATGTTTCTTTGATCCAGGCAGCAAAGGATTCAATAGAAGACTGATCGACAATGTCGAGTTGCCGAAACACCACATTCAAACCTCCTTCTTGCAAAACCTTTGCTGCTTCTTCACCAACAGCTGGTTCTCGTGATGTTAGAATGACTGTCACTCCATGCAATGCGAGTTGGTGAACGATCTCAAATCCAATTCCCCTGTTCGCACCGGTCACCACCACAATAGTTTCATCCGTCCACCATCTAGAGAATTATATATATATATATATGAGTTACACAGAGTTATACCTGCTAGAATTTCGAACAATATCTAATGAAAATTATTGCATGCATTTTATATTTAGCCGACACTGATCTAAGCGAAAAAAGGGTCCTCCCAAGGGCCAATACAAATAAAGGTTTATTATATATGAACTATCTATATATAAAAATTATTTGATATCTCGAGGTTATTAGAGCAAATTAATATTATATTGATATTTTGCATCTAAAAATGTTACAATTTTTTTATTAATTATTTATATTTTATTATAACTAAAAAAATATATTCTCTCTGTCCTAATTCAAAATATTTTGTTTTATTATTTTTGTTTATACTATTTCAAAGTATCTCTTTTCTATTTTAGAAAAATTAATCCTATATTAATATCAAAATATCTTTTAACTTTTACTTAAATTACAAACCTACCATTATACATACAATTATTTTATACAAAAAAAAAAAAAAAAAAAAAAAAGGTCAAAGAACACAATTATTTTATACAAAATCTCTAACTACAAAACTTCAAACCGCCTATTTCAAAAGGGACGGGGGAGTACAATTTATACATTTTTAGAGGCTCTTATTTTTGTTTTAATTTGTTTTTAGATATAACTAAAGTTAATGCTATTATGGATATTTTTGCATCTAAAAATGTTAAATTTTTTATTGTATTTAATTATTTATATTCTATTATAGGTAAAATATTATATATATATATCATTTCTATATCTTTAGAGACCTTTTTTCTATTTAAATATTTTTTTGTATTAAAAAAGTTAATATTAGACAAAATTAATATTAATATTATTATTGATATTTTTGCATAAAAAAAAGACTAAAAATAATTTTTTTTATTATAAATAAAAAATATTATATATATACATACTCAAGGACTACTAATTTTAGTTTCGCTCCAAACCCGTGAAAATAGGACCTACCTAGCAACCAACTAGTTGTTTATTGATATATTGAAACTTTATTTCACATTATTCAGTCATATTTCTCTTGCTAAAAACATCACATGTAAAACATAATTTTCATTTATGGTGTGTTTGATTATAGGTTTGTCGGAAAATAAATTATTCATTAAATTTTTTCTTTCAAAAATATTAAATTAAACATTTCTTTTTTATTTTTAATATTATACTAAAAATTAATTTTACATTCAAAACATCACATCAACACTTATTTATATCATACAGCTATTCTAATTCAAAATATTTACTATTCAAATGTCAACTCAAAATTCAAACTCCCGAATAAATACACCTTAAAGTATTTAAGTATAAACTAAGTACTTCTCGTTCAAAATATCACTATTTTCTTTACATCATTTAAAGTATTTACGTATACATGAGTAGTCATCGTTCCAAATATCACTCTTTTCTTTACATCACACCAAATACCTATTTTGTGTTAGCATTTTACTATTTCTAAAATAACACAAGATGCCAAATCATATCATGACTCGCTGACAAGGGAGCCTACAATCAGGGACGGAACTACACTAGGGACCCCCTAAGCAAAAATTTTTATGATTTTTTTAGTATTAAAAATATTAATTTTTATATATTTATATACAATTTTTTCCTCTCCAAAACTATCTAAATTCATATATAATTCTTTCATTATTATTTATTTGAATTTATTAGCTAAATATTAAACAAATTATAACATTTTCCCTCATCGGAATTTAAATATTAGTTTTGTCACTGTCTGCGACCAAAGCCTCGGCGAATGACAGCAGTAACTATAACCGTTCTACTTTTGCAAGATATATATATAAGCAAATTGTGTGTACAGGGGCATATTATAAGTACGAAGGAAGAGATACATAGTTCAATATTAAAAGCAAAATTACATCATGAAAAAAAAAAAGACATTTTCTATCAATCCCTTTAATTAATTAAGCTTCAATGAGCTTCCAAATTTTAAATGCTCATTCACTACCTACTTTGATTATACAGTATTTTATATGTTTGAGATATCTGCTTTAGGAAGAGAAGTTCGTAAAATAGTATAGAAAGCTCCTCAGATGTTTAATTTGGCATTTCAGAGCCAATAAATCCACCCTAGGATTCTGAAATCGAGTTGATTATTACTCAAATTCGAGAATCTGTTTGCTGTACTGACCTAGAAAACATTGATTCGTCAAATATGATTACCGCATTAGATCTGAAACCAATAATTTGTTTGCTTATTTTCCGATAAGAGACAAACAAATTTTCTTCTAATTAAAATGGATGGATCGATCACCTAATTCCAGATTTGCGCAGAATTATTAACAAAAAATTGCAAAATGTGGAGTGGATTGCGTACCTTTGGTGATCAGAATATGGAATTGTGCGAAGGAGAGAAATCTCTTGGCGCCTCTTTTCCCTCTTTTCCCTAGCCTTCTCCTTCTTGTCCATAACAGCAACACACCAACGAATAATCAATTAATCTAATCTCCACTAAGTGCAAGTATCGATCGATCGATCGATCAATTTTTCCTTTTTTTTTTTTGTTTTTGTGAAGAAGGAAGAAAGAATGAAAGAGAGAGAAAAAACAATAACAGAAAAGAGATGAAGATGAGCTTCCGGTTAACATGCATCATCAGGGGATCCCTCTTTCAACAATGCTCTCCCACGTGCTACATTTTGACAACACTCATATATCATGCACTTTCAACATAAATTTCATTTTCTAATTAAAATGATACTATTTGTTGCCATTTATTATTATTATTATTATTATTATTAGTATTATATATTTCTTCTAAAAAAATATTATATTGTATATTTTAACTTTATTTAATAAATTAAATATAAAAAGTTATTTTTATTAAAATACTTTCTTCTTCGTTGTATTTCAATTGTTTGGCCCTGGATGCATCGCATCGCACCGCATTAATTAGTTTGGTACCGCCCAATTTTAGCTTTCTTCTTCACCCTTCCTTCGGCTTCTTTCTTCTACATTACTCTTTCATTTCATTTTTAAACAGCTTCTCGTACTTCTTTCATCTTCGTCTCCTACTCGTGTGACGTGACGAAATTGTAAGTTCACTCTTCCGTTTCCCTTCCTCTATGGTGCAAGTCTAAGAATTTTCGGCAATTTTGACATTTTTTTTGTTTATGGTCTCCATTTGATTTCGGATGCGTACACAAATTAGTTGTCAAATTTAGTCGATTGTTGATCGTGATTTTCTGTACCGATATAACTAGCTTTAGCTAGCCAAATTGATCTTCTTCTTGATTGCGTTCGATTGAAGGCAGGATTCAGCTGCCGACGGTAACGTGATTTAGGTTTATTTTACGGGTGTTGATAAGTGAATTGAACATGCTTGTAGCGATTTTGACTCTCAGAAGTATTTTTCCCTTAACCGTTTTGGGAGATAGGTTTTCTCACAGCGATTATTTCAGTTCCTTCCAACAGAAATGGCGAGTTCAAGTAGAGCACTTGTCTGCACTGTTCCTCGCATTCTCGGCTACATTCGAACGTCGGTTTCCGTAAATCAAAATTTCCAACGGTATTTAGTGCAGAAATTTTGGCTGTGTCCATCGTATTGTTAATTTGATAATCGTTGATTTTACCTACCGCTAAGCTTTGTTTTGGTTTGATTGTTTCGAAGGCCTGTCTTGGCTTCCTTCCAACGATTTTACTCCTCAACTGAAAGCAAATCTCTGGATATCGATCTCTCCAATGAAGAAAGTAAAAGGCGCTTGTATAACAGGTTTATAGATTACCATGCCCTTGGTTGTATTATATATGTGCTAATTTAATATCCTTGTTCTTCTAGGATGAGTTATTGTATTTTGGTAATTTGCAGGATGTTATATCGGAGTAAACAAAGGGGTTTTCTTGAACTAGACTTGGTTTTGGGGAAATGGGTGGAAGACCACATAACCTCAATGGATGAAAATGGAATCAGATCGCTTCATCATATTCTTGACTTGGTACAATTCACTTTCCCCCAATTCTTGCTTCAGTTTTTTGTTTGTTTTAAAACAATAAAAGTTACTTGAATGCTATCACTACACCGTAAATGAGGCTGTTCCCGTTATTCCTCGGTGTATACACTTGACTTGAATTTAGATGTTGTTTTAGGACTTTCAAGTGAAATTGTATATTGTAACCATTTAATGATTTCTTTTGTGCAGTTTTATTATATGTATATTGCTAATATAGTGGTTTAGTGATCCATGTGTAGAAAGTGGTGGGCTTTTTGGAGTAATTTTGATGTTCTATGGAACTATACTAAATGCAAAACGAGCTTTTTTTTTTTTCAGTTGCTAATTTTTGAAAAGTCTATTGAGTGCATTCGTGAGTATCAAGATAAGAAATGTGGCGATCTTACTTGACAAGATACAAATAATTGGTGGCGAGGTGTGTTTGTTTGGCGATCTTTTATTTGGATTCCCGCATTGGTTTTTGGTTTAAATAGTAGTTTGAATGTGATGTTTGTGACAAGAATTAATATATTTTTATAGAAAATCGTGAGAGTTGAATAGTAATATTTTGTGAAAAAATCACCAATGTATGCCAAAGTTGCCATAGACTTCTCTTAAAATTTATGCTTTTATGTTTCACCTGTGGCCACTTGGATAGTGGTGTGAATTTATATTTGGTGAATGTTTGTATTACAACCAAGTTCAACTGTAAGTTATGTTGGTAGTGGTTTCGAGACACTTCTAGAGTATGAACTTGGATATGCTCTTTCTGTATCAATTTTAGTGTACAATATTAGATTTGCAAATGATTTGAATGATATATTAAAACACGAAATTTGATTATGTTATATGTTCTCCTTATCTGAGAAGTATGATTTATTAACCTATTCTTGTGATTTGATTGGATTTAATTTAACATGTTAAGATCAAAACAACGTCTGTAAGCATCCATTCAATGATCAAAAGAAGCATGAGCAATCAGGCAACAAATTGAAATGGCAGACATTACAATTCTGAGCATAATTTCTTGTCCAAGTTTTGTGAACCTTAAGAATGCCATAATGTTCATTAATCTCCAGGTTTTTGACAATGTTTACTGTGCTGCATCTATTGTTCGCCGTTATAGCTTGATAAATTTTGTTCTTTTCACAGACTTTATCATAATTTGAACACATCATTTTCCTGTTATTGTTCTGCACACAGTATTCACCAATGCTTTCATTCATCTCTATCAGGCCTTCCTTCTCTTGCTAATCATGTTGAACTTCCACTGCCTGCAGGAAAATCCAGACTTATGGAGATGGCTGACAAGCCAAGAGCAACCCCCTGAGGCAGTGGCCAGAAATCATGTAAGCTAAGTCATAAGTCTCTTTCGATTTCGTGCTTCTCAATCAACATCAGATGTCTGAAAAACCGTAAATATTTGGTAGGTATTTGTGTCGATGCGTGAAAGGGTTAGTACGAATCTGGAGAAGCACACAACTCCTGAAACCCGAGCAACGCCTGGGCAGCCATGGGTTAGGGGTTGGGACGACTTCAAGAAGGGTCGAGACAGCCCCATTACCGGGAATCAGTAGAGCCGCTATATATATATATATATATATATATATATATGCAAATTTAAAAGGAATATGTATTTTATGTTTTAGCTAGCCCCTTTTCGAGGGATATGATATGATATAATATGAGATGAATAAAAGGAGTCAGAGTCAGTCAGTCGCACGATGAAACTCCAGTGAGCCCTTTGTGAAGATGATGCATTGCATTGCATTTGATGTGTACTAAATAAAAAAATAAGACCATTCGATTAGTAATAACAACATAGGGGATTCCCTGTAACTCATATCATTGAATCTTACATCTTTATTGTCAAGACATTTATTTATAAGACATACGATTTTGTGTAATACAGTATAGTATTTTATTGTATTATGTATTTTATATACTCCTTAGTTTCAACTCTATTTTCTCCCTTTTCTGTTTTAGACATATATACTAAAATATTTTTAATTTTTGTTTACACAGTCTCACAAATAAGAGGGAGTATAATACAGTAATTTTGATAGTTTAAAATTATTTTAACTTTATTATGTTCAAATAATTTTTTTAAAAGATTATTTACAAAAAAATTGTTCAAATATATATTATCTTTAATCTTATTACCCTTAAATAATTTGTTTTTTCTAAAAAAATATTTTTATAGAAATTTATTCAAATATAAATTTAAAATTATTTTATAAAAAGTCGGTGATTTTATAACATATATATACACAAAAATATGCCATAGTCTTTAATAAATAAATAAAAAATTAATATAAAATAATAGTAATTTTCATATTATGTACTCACTTATACCTACAATATTGTATAGTTGCAAAGGACCTAAATTTGGGATTGTGGAGTCGACAACCGGAGCCACATCTAAGTTACATTTACAGATACAACTATCAATTTAAAACCTCTTCCCAAATTTTAATGGCTATGGCCGGACGTAGGCGCTGAGCAAAGAAACGGCCATGTGTACCGGCTCGATTTCCGGTTCGGACTCGGATTCGGGCTCAAATGGCTGGGGCAAGGCCCGTGGTGTGGTGCTGAAGACACTGGTGTTAATCGGCGGCGCATTGCTGCTCAAGCGTCTCACCAAGTCCACCACTCGCTGGGACCATACGCGCATCGTTGCCGACTCCCTGGCCGGCGAGAAGGTGGCTTTTTATATGCTTATTATGCTGAATTGCGATTGTTTTCTTTACTGCTTGTTATGGAAAATTATGCTATGGGTTTCGATTTTGGTTATTGTTTGAATTTCGAATTTTTAGTTTTCGAGAGAGCAGGCTTCGAGAGACCCGGAGAATTATTTCAATTTAAGGTATTTGTTTGCTTTTCTCCCTCTCGAATTTAAGAGATTGATTGTCATTCTGTATGATGATTGGTGTTTCTTTTGTCGATTTACAGACTTGACATTGCAAGCATCTTAAATTTAATTGTTCCTGTCGGAAATTGAATTCATGAAAACTTTTGGTTTTTGTATTGATTTGTGTTGTTTGTATGAGTGCCTTGTGAATAACTTAACAATGTAAAGTTTGGAGAAATTCTTTTGTGGTGTTGGTTAAAATTGATATTGGCTTTCATTTCTTTATATGTTATTACATAGATGGCTTTCCTGCCCGGCAGCAGAGATGGTCGATGGCTCCAGGGTTTTGTACTTTGAACAGGTAGGATTTAGTTTGTTGAGTATCTATATCGTCTGTATGATTTGTTTATTCCTCTGAAGTGATTTATAATCAAGTCTTCTGTGGGTAGGCATTCTGGAGATCTCCTCACAAACCTTTCCGACAGGTGCTTGATGATTGCTAGTTCATTGCTGCACCTGTTACCTGTCATTCTATGTATAGATTTCATCTAATTTGGTATTTTAATGCAGAGGTTTTTCATGGTAGAGCCTTGCTCGAAGGAGATGAAGTGTGATGTGAAGGTTAGTTCTGGTTTATGTTTGCTTTGATTTGTATATAGATAATATATTTTTATTTTAATCGAAAATTACTTACTTGTAGTGTTTTGAACTGATTTTAACTGTTATGTCATTATTATGATTCTGCTAATGGCCAGCTGAGCACATATGCTATACGGGATTCAGAAGAATACAGGAACTTTTGTGACAGGTCAAAGGATCAAAGGCCACAGCCTGAAGAAGTTATTGGGGTGAGTTTGGCTATGATTGATTACCTTTACACTTAGAGTTGATATTAAAATGCAAACACAAGGAATCCTTAACTTTTCTGTTATGATTAGTTTTGTATGAGTTAAATTTTAGAATTTTACTTTGCTATATTGAAGGTCTGATAACTGTGGGCCACAGCTCAAATTTTCTAGAGTTCGTTTTTCATCAAATGGTCTCATTGTTTCTGTCCCACAAAATAAGTATGCACCACATATGATTGATTTTCCTCTCTGTTTTCTCCTTGTGATTTCGTTGGGAATTAGAGGAGGGAGTTCATCTGTTAATTTTTCTAACTGAATAACCAGTTAAGTCAAAGTACAAGCACCGGAGATCTCAAAGAGACTCTATATCTTCTTGTGCCACTGATTGATGCTACTTTCTGTACATGGTTAGTTGGTGATTTACTTGGGATCTTTATCCCTGCTTTCCCACCACTATCATTTAACATGACGACATCAATTGAAAACAATTCTAAACTGACAACCCTTAGCTTCCATAAGCCCCCCACCCCAACTTACAGTCAGAATGCTCTCTATTTATTAGTTGTTTTGCAAGTAAATCATTTGGCATTTCTTAACATTCTTTCATAGTTGGTCTCCTGAGAGTATTGAATGTGCTCCTTCAGTTCTGACCGATAATTCTGCATGTTACTAGACATAATATTCACTCTGAATTGATAAACGTACACTTCTATAAGCCTATCATCTTTGGATATGGAATGAATTATTGGAAGTCACTTTGAGGGTCCTGATGGAGCTACATACACTAAGATCTGAAATGCACGTTGGTTCTGACAGGTGCACAAAGTAGCTGATTGTTCTGCATTGTTATAAGTTTGATACTTGGGGTTTGTTTCACAATTTTCTTGATTGTTTGTGGGAGGGGATGATGGAATGTGATGTGAGAATGGAGTATGAGCCAGTTATGCGCAAGAAACTTAATCGACATGAGTTGACTTTGAACTTTCCAATCATCCTGTCATTGATATATTTCTTTACATTTGAGATTGTGTTTTTATGCTTGTTACACTCGGTTCATATATAGTTCTGTTCTACATTTCGTAGCTCAAGCAGATTCTGTTGAAACACGATTTGCATTAAAATATGAGCTTACTATTTTAATATTCGGAAATCCATTTTGTGAGCGGTTGATCAGCGTAACATGTGGATCCAGGACATTGCAGAGCATTTGACAACTGTATATCTGAAGCGCTGTGATAGAGGGAAGCGCTGCTTATATGAAGGTTCAACTCCTGCAGATGGATTTCCTAATAATTGGGTAATGTTCTCTCGACTGCTCTCTAATCTCGCAAGTGTTTCCATAAAATTGAAGCTGATGTTGTCTTATGATGACATGTTTTTTTTTGTATGACAGAATGGTGCTTCGACTTGCACCTCAGATATTACCATTTTGAAAAACAATGAAATCCATTCGTGGGACAGAGGGTATGATGAAGAAGGAAATCAGGTCAGTTTCGACACATGACACCAATTCATTGTATGAAGTCGAACATCACTCTTATTTGATAATTATTTAAGCCCCTTTCTCCTATTTTTCAGGTCTGGGGTGTAAAGGGTGGCCCATACGAGTTTAAACCTGCTCCGTCCTCAAGTTTTAGCGACCCGTACTCTTCTCTGAATTTTCCTCCTCAGTTTCTGGAAAAACGAAGAATAGAAGGTTCGTTTGTTCTTCAAGAATGACTTATATCTTATTATATGATGTATTATATCTGGCTTGTGATACCGGCACCGCATTAATGTGTTATGGCACGATAATATTTGTACAGAAATCGTCATCTTAAAGTTTTGATAGACTTAATAAAGTAGAATTAGAAATTGGGAGCTGAGGGATAACCAGGGATTTATCGATAATATATCACTAAGAACCTCAGCTTATAGATCATGCATCGTATGTCATGAATGTCTTGTCTTGACAACTGTCCAAGTTCATCGACTCCGGGATGGATTTGAAAGTTGTTTGGATGAGTGATATGGCTATCTGAAACCAGCCCTAACGTGAACTTAGATTAGTCGGTGGACATTTGGCTTCCAAAGGAAGTGCTGGCATGAATTTGACGAGCACATTAAGATTTCGTAGTTCATATTCTTAGTCAGTTCAGACCGGCAAGGCAATACAAGTTTACTTGTACATGCTTTCCTCGGCCATTTGATACATTCGGGATTTCTTATGGTTAACTTTGGAGTTGTAATGGAATCCATCTCGACGGGTTAGGCTTCTATGAGTTGAGTTTTGCTTTGCTAAAATGGTCGACATCTTGATGGGTAGGAACTATCAACATTCTCCAACTCTTTAACCAAATGGCAAAGTTTGGAGGATGTGTTTTGGCAATCGATTAGATTAGATATAGATAACATTCTTGTGTTTTGGAACAAAGAGATTTATTTGGAAACGAATAGTATTAATTAGTTAGTACAAAACAAAAGCACAAGTTGCAAATGCAATAGAGGATGATGGGTGGCACTAATTTGTTCCTACATATATAATTATATGTTTTCTTTCATGTGTTCAAAAAAATTCTTGCTCCAATAAATAATGATCTGGTCTGGTCTCAGTAGGCACTGTTGAGATAGAAATACAAAGCAGCTAATGCTGCAGCTCCCAGTGCAACTGCGAACGGCAATGCCTTCCTGCATTTTTAATTATTTGTTTCATTAATTAATTATATACTCCATTAGAAACACGTATAATCTAATCTATAATAAATTAACATACTAATGTACTACTCACTCTGTCCTTGGTTCCTTTTACTGCCGAGAAATATAATTAATAAATAATTAAAAATATATTAATAAAAATAATTATCGTATGATAAAAATAATTTTAAATTAAAATTAAGATAATTAGTTAGTGTAATTAAAATTTAAAAAATTATAAATTATAAATTTTAAAATAAGATTAAAATGTATAATTCTTTTTTTAAAAAAATGACAGAATAAGTGAAACAAAATGAAAAGATGGACAATAGTAAGTGGAACAACTGAGTATATACTAATAATAATAATAGAAAATAATATATGTTTTTGGGACGGACAAAATAAAAAATACTTCATCCTTCTCAATACAATAGCCTGGTTTATCATTTTTGTTCGTCTCAAAATAATAATCTTATTTCCATAAAATTATCCCTATTTTTTTTATTTTTATGACACAATTGCCACTATTTTATCCATATTTTTTATCAACTATCAATATAATATCAATATTCCTTAAATTTTATCCCTAACCCAATTAACAATATTTATGGGATGGAGCAGTATCGAGGGAGTATTATTATTATTATTATGGTAATTTGATTTGATGTGATTAGATTACCCACCCAATGCTTTCATCTCTCTGGAGCTGTGCCTTTCTGGCTTTCCTTACATCTGTTTCATTTGCATTTTTAGACACTGCTGGGGTGTACTGCTTAAACCTCCTTTTTGGGGCTCCACACACTGCAATTTCGAATATGGAAATATAACATATATATATATATATATTTGTGTATGTATTCTATCAATCAATCAGAAGGTATGTATGTATGTATGTACCAGGGCAGAAGTACTTATCAGGCAACTTCTCGAAGGGGGTTCTGTCATTGTATATGTACCTGCATTATATTGCAATCAGATACTATTAAGCTAGCTAAACCCTAACCCTAATTCCCAAATCAACTAGCAGACTCACGACTTACGACAATTTCAATAAAAATCCAACGAATTTTGCAGAGATTGGTTTACCCGCAGTCACGGCAAACATAGGCCTGCTTGGAAGCTACTCGCATCGAGAATTTGGGCGCCGTCGCAGGAGAGGTGGACGCCACCTGAGACTGAGACTGAGAAGGCATGAACAAGTGCAGTGATGGAGCGGAGAAGGAAGACTTTAGAGCGAACCGGTCCGCCGGAAGCCTCAGGCCGGCGACGGAATAATTCCCCGGCGGAAGCGACGGCGCTGTTGCCTTGCCGGTTCCATGGAGTCCGGCGGCAGCGGGCAAGGCCATTGGTGGAGAACCCTTACCCAACTCTCTTGGAGAAGAAGATAAGAAGTGTGCAGCAAATGCAATGGAGATTGTGTGGCAATAAGTGCAGCGTTGCTGTTGCTGGAGTGTGGCTCTCCACATCTATTTATATAATTTATTTTTTAAATAAATGAAAAATTCCAAAATTATTATTATTTTTAAAAAATGAAAAGAATTAGGGAGTGTGTGTGTGACGTGGCAATGGTAGTCTTCACAAAATCATCCTCAGACCACAATAATCCACATCTTACCTTGCGTTACCTCTCGACCTTTTTCTTATCCTTGAATGCCTTTCTTGAACTTTCTACGCTTGTTTTTATTTATTTGTTTTCTTACGTCCTTTTTTGCTTTACCTATCTCATTATTGAATTTTGGATTTGTTATTTCCTAGGCCCCAACTTATATATATATATATATATATATCAATAATAAAGAAAAAATTAGCACTTGCACATATAATTTACAAATCATATTTTATTTATATAATGACACCGGTCCAAAAATACCTAAAGAAGATAAAAAGTGGAGCCGGAATTCCCAAGCTGCAGAGCTGTTCAAGAACAATGGAGCCGTGAAGCTGATCGTTCAATAACAATGAAGCTTTAGGTCGTGGAAGTGACAGTAGCTGAGAAGTTATTGAGTTTGGAAGAAGTTATTGAGTTTGGAAAAATAACCGAATCTAGGGATGATTTTTCATGCTAAGATAAATATGGTAAAACAAAATACAAACACATACCTGACGAATAGCCAATTTATCCGAATCTAGTTTATCTTTAATTTTTTCAATAGTTTATCCAATTACGTTTACTTTATATTGTCTTTTTGCTAATCTAAGTTTAATTTCATGTTAGTTTATAGTTTCAATAGATTTTAGTTTAAATACATTGAAATCAGACTCAAAGTCGGCCGCCCCTCAATCCGATGACGGACAGACTTTTTGGAATACTTTCGTAATCTATACATTCGGAATTGACCAACAGTATTAGAACCTCTTCATTTTAAGTTGGGACAATATCTATTTCATTCAAAGCTAAATTAATTGAGAAGGAATAATCTAAATTAAAGTCCATGAAAGAAGCTTCAAATGGAAATTACTAGTCAAAAGTCACAATCATGATTTTATTTATTTAAAAATTAGTAATCGTGTTATTCTTAGAGTAAGTATGACGTATCAAATAAATTATTCGGCCAATTATAATAATCTACGAACCATACCAAATATATACTCCCTTACTGCTATGGGTGTATTACCGTAGACACGAGAATTTAGGTAAAATATAATTAGCAAGTAATATAGAAGTGTATTAGTAAAAATAATTATAGATTAAGATTAAGATAACAAAATAATTTAATTAAGATTAAAAAAAATTAAATTTTAAATTTTAAAATATGATTAGAATGTATAATTAATTTTTCAAAAAAGAAAAGGACAAATTACGTGGGACGGACGAAAATAAAAAATAGGAACAAATTATGTGGGATTGAAGGAAGTAATTTACAGAAGATAAGGCATTGACAAAAAAAATTGATTAAAACATACATCTCAGGATTTTGCGATTTTGTTAATATATATCATCACTACTTGCTGAGTTGGAAATTCCTTATTATATTACTACCTCCGTCCCACGTACCATGTCCACGTTGCTGTTTCTGTCTGTCCCACGTTCCATGTCACTTTTCTTTTTTGGAAAATGATTACACACTTTAATCTCATTTTAAATTTTTAAATTTATTTTTTAAATTTTAATTAAACTAATTAGTTATCTTAATCTTAATTTATAATTATTTATATTATAGGATAACTATTTTCACTAATACATTCTTAATTATCTACTAATTACACCACTCCTAAAATACCGTGTCTACAGTGTAGCATACACCGTATGTGGGACGGAGGGAGTAATATTTATGAATTATTAAATATAGATTGAGTTTGATGCAGTTGTAATTAATAGCCCCATTTTTCATAAGGATTAAAGTTTAGTGCTCCATCTTGTTGTGTTTGACACGAGATTTAAGAAATATTGATATTATATTGGTAGTGGATAAAAAGTACAGGTAAAAAATAATTTTGAACTTGTGAGTGTATTAGTGTAAAAAGTAGTGACAATTGTGTAATAATAATGAAAAAGTAAAGTTAGTTTTATAATGATATGGTTATTTATGAAAATGAGACTATTGTTTTGAGACGGACAAAAATGGTAAACAAGACTATTGTATTGAGTAGGAGGTAATATTATTTAAATAGAACCCAACTGTTGATTAAAGCCAACCCTTTCTGCTTATTTAACTGTTCCAACCATTTATTGATACTGAAAAATATTAATGACTATAAGTTAAATGGACTGTAAAACATTATAATAATCTTAAAATTCGGATTTTTTTGCAAGGGAAAGTGACATAATAAGTGGGACTAACGAAAATGGAAATATGAATACGGTAAGTGAGACGGAAGAATTAATTAATATTAAAAAATAAACATGTAAAAAGTAAATGAAACCCTTAGAGCCGAACGAGGTAATATTACGTTATATACAAACATATATTGTATAGTTTATATATCTTATTATACTGAATAAATATATTTACTGTATTAAAATTAATAATTATTGTGATATATAAAATTATATCTTATGCTGCCATAATATGTGGGTAAAATTGCTTATAACTCCCTTGTGGTTTCAAAATCAACGTAAAATCTCCTTATACTTTAAAAATTGCATGATACTCCTTTATACTTTAAAAAACGTTGCATAAAACCCCACCAGCATGAAACCTTCCTCGTGTGATAAGAAGATGATTTCTTATCTATATGTTTTGCATGACATGGGGTTTTATGCAATATTTTTTAAAGTATAAGTGAGCGTCATGCAATTTTTTAAAATAAAATGGGGATTTATGCTGAGTTTCGAAACTACAAAGTGGTTTCATGCAACATTTTTTAAAGTATAAGGGGACGTCATATAATTTTTAAAATAGAAGGGGAATTTACGCTGAATTTTGAAATCACAATAGAGCTATGGACAATTTTGCCTAATATGTGCTACCACTGTATTGATTGAGCAGTGAGCATGGTAACCTATCTCCAAGTTAAATATTAATTGATGTTTGCTAATATAATACTTTTACATAAAATAGTGTAATAAAAAAATTTGAAAACACAAGCCAAATTTTGTTAAATTATAAGCTGCTCTAAATTAATTTTATATTTTAAGTATTATCTCCGTCCCATAAAACCTATAGCATTTGTTTTTTTGCATCATTATAATTTACAATAAAAATATATTTATATTTATATAATTTACTTAACAAATATCGTTGTATTTGTATTATAAAAAATTAATAGATTTTTTTTTTAATTTTCTCTTTATTTGCAAATTTGCATTTTTGGTCCTAAACAGTACTCCCTCCGTCCCACCTACTATGTCCATATTGCCGTTTCTATCCGTCCCACATCCCGTGTCACTTTTCTTTTTTAAAAAATGATTAAACACTTTAATCTCATTTTAAAACTTTTAATTTAATTTTTTTTAATTTTAATTAAACTAACTAGTCATCTAAACCTTAATCTATAATTATTTATATTATAGGATAATTATTTTCATTAATACATTCTTAATTATCTATTAATTATATTTGTCCTAAATTCCCGTGTCTGCGGTGACCCAAACATCCAATGTGGGACGGATGGCGTATTTTGCAACTTTTTACTTTTTTACATAAATTTCTCTTTTATCCTTCTAAATATATTTTACAAAATTATTTTTAAAATAAAGCATGCATGTATATATATATAATATTTTGTTTCTTTTGATACCTTTGGAAAATTTTCAATTTAAATTTATATGATGAAATATTTTGTGATAAGAAAAGATATATATATTTTTTTTACAAAATAGCGAGTTCAAATAGTAAAAAATTGGAATTTTGAGTAAAAAAAACACATATAAAACTAGCAAACGAATGAAGAGGGGGAAGGGGGTATTTCTTAATGCCTGAAAGTGCTTATTATAATTAAAAACAAATAGTATAATTTTTAATAAAAATATATTATTTTAATTTCAAATCAAAATAAAAAAATTATTTTACTAATTTATTTTAAGCAAAATAGTATAAAATCAACATATATTTTATAAAATATTTACATGAAAAGCCCCTTCTAATTGTTTAAAAAATGCATCAAACTTTTTTATAGTTTCAAAAATCGGTTATTAGTTAAAAGATAATTTCATAGTTACGGTGAATTTTTAAATTACCTTTGCAAGGCGTATGTAGAATAATCACATTAATTAATAACGAATCCAAAATTTCCAAATTTATAAGAAAAATTGATACAATCTTAAAATAATGAGATTTTGCACAATTTTCATAAACAAACAAGTCTTTAGGTTGTTTTGCCTAAATTGTAAATAAAATAAAACAAAACATCATTAAAAGCATCTCCAACCATACTCTATATCCCGCGTTCCAACACTATTTTTGTGCCGAGCTGCTCCAATCTAGCGCCATTCCCAGCATCAAATTTAAAGTTTGCTACAGTGCAACACCATTTTTTTTTTTGGTGTTGCACCGTAGCAAACGCTATTTTTTTTTATAAAAAAAATTTAAATTTAATTTTTAAATTTAATTTTTATTTTTTAAAATTTAATTTTAAATTATAAAAATAAAAAGTTGATTAAAATAATAGGAAAAATTGAATATTTGAAAAATAATAGTAAAAAATGAGTTATGTTGTAGTAAAATTACTGTAGCAATTGCATATTTGAAATTAAAATTGAATAAATAGAGATGATGGGTTGGAGATGGCCTTATTAAAACAGAAAATTCCAAATACTCAAATGCAACTAAAAGAAAAAAAAAAAAACCCTAATCACAATTTTTTTGTTAGAAACTTTCTCCCATTAAAAGAGGAAGCAAGTTTAGGGTTCAAATTCTTCTCCCTTCGATTATCATTGCCCATTGACCAAATACTAATCATCAAATATAATTTTTTAGATAAAATAAGAAATGATTCCCTCGTTTAAACCACACCCCAATAAATTATGAAAAATAAAATAAAATAGAAATATTCTGCATACCTCATCATAGTGTGTTGTGTTGTATATATATTATCATCTCTTATGATCATCATCATCATCATAATCATAATCCCAAACACCATAATCATGGCAGAAGTAGCAAAGGCAGATGACGATGATGTCTGCTCTCCAGACTCACAATTTCTGGGAAAGAACACAGACAATAATGGTGAGGAAAACATAAGACTTTGCATTCTTTCCATGAGAACCACTCTTGAAAAACAAGATCCCTCTTGCAAGGTATTCTTTCTTTCTCATATAATAAGTATATGATTTTGAGATTTTCTTCATCAGATATATAAGTCTATTTTGAGGTTTTTATTTTCTTCTTTCGACTTATTTACTATGCAAGCCATACAATTCCCTAAACCATAAGTACAAAGCTGATTTTCTGAATCTTATGAATTAATTAAGCTGTTAAGTATTGATCAGATCTGATTCTATGTGGATAACTATCTTATACAGCTAAAATTGAAGGAAATTAAAGGACTGTAATTGGCAGATTTCAGACAACGTTTGAAACTGCAATCGATATTTTGTTTGTGTTCATCACAGGATCTAGACGATTCAACACTGAGAAGGTTTCTTTGCGCACGCGATCTCGATGTTGATAAAGCTGCAACGATGTTGCTGAAATACTTGGCATGGAGGCGGGCCTTCATGCCAAAGGGTTTCATTACAACATCGGAGATCCATAATGAAATATCACAAAACAAGATGTTCATGCAAGGGAAGGACAAGCAAGGGCGTCCCATTGCAGTTGTTTTAGTTTCCCGTCATTTTCAAGGAGACACAGATGAATTCAAACGTGTTCTAGCTTGGATACTTCCTTTTTCTATTTTTTTTGTTGTATTGTATGGAGATTTGATTTTGGTTATCTGTAAGATACAATGTTGTAGTACTGATGACTGGTTTTCTCATGTGTTGCCCTATGGTTGATTTTTCAGGTTTTTGGGTGTTTGCTTTGGATAAGCTGTGTTCCAGGTTAGACACAACCACAATCTTGGCTCTAAATCTGTTGATACTAATTGTAATTTTGATTGTCGTAGTTCTGTTACATTTATATCAGGGTAAGTTCATTCTTTTGTGGACCATTTATTATTTTAGTCTGATAACTGAAGTATGAGTCTCTTGTAAATTAGCATCGTAAGTGAAGATTTTTTGCAATTTTAGTCCTCCGGCGCTGGAGATGCTTACGTGGCTCGCGGAGGACACGTGTCCGCCAAGTTAGCAATATTTTGCGACCATGTGAATTTTTAAATTATTTTTTTTAAAAAAATTTAATTTGTTTATTGTCTTTTTTTTTAAAAAAAAATTAAAAATTGAAAATTAAAACAATTCACCTGTGTGCCAGGTGTCGCTAATCTGGCGGCGAGCCACATGGGTGCCACGGAGACATTTCTCACGTGGGAAGACTAAAATTGTGAAAACTTTTCACTGAAACTAATTTGCGACAAACTTTAATTACACGACTAAAATGATAAAAAAGTCTACGGGACAAGAAAAAATTAGTTTACCTTTATATTAAGATGAATAATATGATTTTATCCAACTTAATTACACATTTACTATGCAGTATTATAGTCCAAAACATAATAAAATATGGTACGGGTAGACAAAAAAATCGATCTGAACAGTTGAATCGTTGAACCGAACTGAATTGAATCGAACCGAATTTTCGGTTAACCGAGCAAATTCGGTTTGAATATAAATACTGCATATTTGATATTTGTTCGGTTCGATTTCAGTTTTTGATATTTTTTTCGTATTTATATATTTATATTATTATATTTTCAAATTTATATTAATAATTATATTCGGTTCGGTTACGGTTCGATTTCGGTTAAGATATTTGAAATATTTGCAAATATTTTGATTTAGTTAGAATTTTAATTATTTTTTAATATATTATTTTTTAATTTCGGTTCGGTTCGAATTATATGGAAATATTTTCAGTTAAGGATACGATTCGCGATTTCGAATATTTGTTCAATTCGATTCGGATATAAAAAAAAATGAGATAGTAGTAGTATAATCAGGAATTATTTATCATTTCGTCATAAAATAAAAAAAAAAAAAAAAAAAAAGAAAGAAAGAATTATTTATCATTCCGTTGTAGATACTATTAAGGTAGAATTATTGTTACAATACTATTTTACTCTTCTTTAATAACTAATTTAATATTAATAATTTTATATAATTAAGGGTATTTTATAATAATAATAATATTATACAATAATCAATATTTCAAATTGTTTTATCATATGATTATATAATCCATTAAAATCATAATATATATATATATATGTATTATAATTTAAATCCATCCTAATTGTATATAAGTGCAGAAATATTTATGAAATACTACAACCTTAACCTTTTTAACATAGACAACATGATTAGATACATATCTAAAGTAAAACAGTCAGCCTATTTGTGAATAACATTCCACATTTCACAATACACAGACTAGCATTCTTCCACCTGACATTATAAGAAAATATCATTTTTGTAACGAGATTTTTTTATCTTTAAATCTACTTTTTCCGTTACTAATGATATTAGAGACGGAATTAACGATGGAATTACGTTACCTACGCGATCTTTAGGGACGGAATTCCGTTACAAATATACTATTTTTTTTCGTAGTGGAATATCCAAGTAACAAATTATTATCTTTAAAAATAATATTCTTTTGGTGAATAAGATGCAAAAATGATTGCATTGGATTCAATTGGTGTCTAGATGCAATAAAGTGTGTTATCAATCTTGAATCTGCCCAGATTGCATATGGAATGAAGAGGAGCTAACTGCTATTCCTAATTTCATATTTACCTTTTTAGCTCTTATTACAAAATCAGCATCAGATCCTACCCCTTGTGTACATCATTATCATTAAAGTTTACAGTTTGTCAAGAACCATAACCATCGAACACAATTCTTTTTCACCTGTCCAAAGATGGCCCATTTCTGAGAATACCGACTAAGTTATTATTTATTTCTTACCAAAAATCAGGATGTCTGGAGGACAGGAAAAGTTCACTATTATAGCAGATCTACAAGGGTATGGCTATTGCAACGGCGATGTCCGCGCAAGCGTCGCAACTATTTCAATCCTACAGGTCTAAACAATTCAGATAAATGAATACCTCATGTTATTATGCTAATCAATACACATATATATTAAATATTTTATGACAGGATTACTACCCAGAAAGACTTGGAAAAATGCTTTTCATTCATGTACCCTACATTTTCATGACCACGTGGAAGATCATTCAACCATTCATCGACAAGAATAACAGGAAGAAGGTATAAGTACAAGTAGAAGTCATTATCCATTTATTTAATTTTTAGTTTTTGGTTTGGATTTTTTGATATTAAAAATTTGAATTTGAATAGTTATTTGATGTGATATAAACAGAAGTTGACGATATATTTTGAATGTAAAATAAATTTGTAGTATAATATATAAAAAAAAATGATAATTGTTTAATGTGATATTTTTTAAGAAAAAAAAAGAATTTGAATAATAAAAATTTAGATAAAATTCACAAAAGAACACAACCTTAGATGTTGCACTGCATACGTTTGTTGTCTGATCCATGGCTTTTTACTGTGTTCAAGATTGTATTTGTGGAGAACAGCAAATTACACGCCACTCTGCAAGAGGAAATTGATGAAAACCAGCTTCCAGAGATCTATGGAGGCAAACTGCAGTTGGTTCCAATCCACAATAGCTAGCGCTGAACATCACAAAGATCTTATTGACCCACAAGCATGTCAAGCTTATCATATCATATTAGTATTATATATTCATATATGCAGAGAAAATATTATTGAGAATAACAAATTAGAAAAGACTATCTCTACTTTTTATGCTTTTAATGTTGTATTGCAGCTGTATTATCGTGAGAAAATTTTTGAAAAGTACTAATTGCATGTCTTTTATTAGCTGAGCAGAATAATGAGTTATTGATGAAATTCATCGGCCCGGTCCACTGGTTCAAGTTTGTTCCTTGAGGTGAACGTAACATTTTCTAAATGAGGCCGTGGACATGGTTGCGATCGTGAGAGTCAACAAGGTCGATATAGCCCATACAATCGCCGCAACTTTGACATTTACAGGAAGTAGAGTAAACCCGATATGGGATGTAGCCGAAAAGGCTAAATAAAGAAAGAGACAAGTCAACTTTTGTCATCGGTGTGGCGTTAAGACCATTGGGCCAATACTTGCGGAACAACCAAACACTAGTTAATCTTTACCAAGTCTCATTGCAGAAAAAGGGGAATGAGGTCGAGAATAATCACGTTGACAATGATGACGACCCCAATGATATTTTGGATTATGGCACAACGCATCTTAATATAGCAGATTTTTTCGTAAATCCAGCAAACTCCCAGTAACAGACATATTATTCATTTTATTTATGTTATTTTATATTTTGTAATCTTTAAATTATCGCATATACCTTTTTGTAATGTATTTTATAATATTTGTATTTGTTTTTATTAATACTGCGTTTATTTATATTTGAAGGTTAATGAATACTAATCAAAATAATGCAAATATGTGTTTTATTGACAATGCAACGACATATACTATATTGAAACACGAAAAATGTTCTTTTCCATTTGAAAAGAGAAAAAATGAATGTCAGTGGCAATGCAAAATTAATTGAAAGCTTTGGAGAAGTTATTATATTTTTTTCGCGGGGACGAAAATTGTAATACAATATGCACTGTTGGCCACTAAAACTCGAAAAAAATTACTGAACTTTCATGACATTCGAATGGCTATCACATTGAGACTATGAGTTATACCAATGGTGAATTTTTTTTTATCATCAATATCATTGATAAAAGAAAACACATCATTGAGATATTATTCTCGCTCTTTACTGGTTTATGTTATGCTATATTAGGTGTTGTTGAAACACACATCACGGTAAATAAAAAGACTTCCGATTTCAAATATAGCATGATCGCCTTGGGCATCTGGCAATATAATGATGAGAGGAATAATTGAGAATTCACATGACCATTAATTAAAGGTCAAAAATTTAAACTCAAATGAGTTAACTTGTGTTGTCTGCACTCAGGGAAAATTGATAACCATGTCATTGCCAGCTAAAGTAGGTACGAATCACCTACATTTTTGGAAAAAATTCACAGGGATATATGTGGACCATTAGACCCCACAATGTGGACCATTTAAATATTTTATGGTGCTAATTGATGCATCTACCAGATGAACTCATGTCTGTTTATTATCTACTCGCAATATGATATTTGCGCGATTGTCTGCCCAAATTATTAAATTACGAATACAATTCCCCGATATTACTATACGTCTTGATAATGCTAGTGAAATTCATTGAATGCATTTGATGATTATTGCATGCCGATTGAAATTAATGTAGAGCACTTAGTTGCTCATGTTCATACACAAAATGACCCGGTAGAATCACTTATTAAAATATTACAATTGATTTCTAGACAATTACTGATGAGGTCTATGTTGTCCGTTTCTGCTTGAAGCATGTAAGAACACTTATAAGAATGAGGCCGACAAACTATCATAGTTATTCCCTAATGCAATTAGTATTTGGTCATGAACCAAATATATATTATCTACGTATTTTTGGGTGTGCTTTTTATGTTCCTATTCCACTCGCTAAACATACAAAAATGAATTCTTAATGTAGATTGATCATTTATATCGGATATGAATCACTGTAATTATAAAATATACTTCCTCCATCCGCACAAAAAGTAAACATTTACTTTTGACACGGTGTTTAAGAAATAATAATATTTTAATTATAGTGGGTAGTTAAAAATAGTATAATGACATTTTTGCCTTTACTTTTTGGTGTAAAAGTAATGATGTGATGTAAAGTAGGGGTATTTGTAGAACAAAGTGAGATATTTCATGAAATGTTTACTTTGTAATTAGACGTCCCAAAATAGAAATATTTATACTTTATAGCTGGACGGAGGGAGTATATTTTTTTTTATCGAAATCAATTATAAAATATCTTGAATCTATGCAGAGTGATTTATTCACTGCAAGATTTTCAAATTGTCATTTTGACGAGTCATATTTTTCGACATTAGGGGAGACAAAAATGAATCAAAAAGAGATATTAATTGGAAAGTCCTATTGAATTTTTGTGATCCTCGTACAAAACAGTGTGAACTAAAAGTTCAATGCATTATACATTTGAAAAATATTTCAAATCAGTTACCGGATGCATTCAATGACTCGAGTAAAGTCACTCAATCATTTATCCAAACTACTAATGCTCCGACAAAAATTATTTGTCCATGATGGACAAATTGCAATGGCTAATGAATCAGAGACAACTTAAAGCATGGTAGATCACTTCGTTCCAAAGATAAACATCTTCGGAAAAAAATATGAATGAATGATGATAATCATGAAAATATCACGATTGACATTGATAAACCTCAATCTAATGAGAAAGTCAACCATTAAATAATTGCTCAAAAAGAGCACGATCTTGAAAAACATGATGAGATTATTGAAAATTCAATTAACTATGTTACTTCAATGAAATGTTGGAACCATAAATAGATAATTATTGATAATGCATTCGCATACAATTTAGAGCTTGATATAATGGAGGAAAATGAGGATCTGGAGCTAAAATCGGTTCATGAATGTCAATAAAGAAATGATTGGGCCAAAATGAAAAAAATGTGATTCAATCAGAGTTTGACTAATTAAACAGAAAAGATATATTCGAACCAATTGTTCAAACAACAAATGGTATAAAATCAGTGAGATACAAACCACCTGGGGGGAAATAAGGAAACTACCTCCATAAAGGCAATGATATCAGCCCGTGATCGTTGCCATGATGTTCGGGCGTGATCGTCGATTGGCACAATTTCCGTAATTACAATCGGATATAGCCAACTTACCTGATAAAACATTATCTCAATTTTGGGCTTTTAGCGCTTGGGCTCATCTTGAACTTCAAAACTTGAAGTTGGACTTGTCTTGCGGCAAAATAAATGTTGAGTTTTGGGCTTGTTCATTGCACAGTGATGCAAAATTTGGCCTCGCCAAGCCCCACAACTTAAGCCCGTGTACGTATACGTGTCCAATCCGGGACGGGCTGCGCGCGTGGCTTGACAAAACTCTCATGTCCCGATCATACTTTTTGCTATATTTATTACACAACCCAATAGATGACAATCTCGGACAACTTTCCTCTCTTGTTATATAATTACTTAACTAATTTATCCAAAACTCCTAATTACTTTTCGCCCACAATTTTAACTACATTTCAGTTCAAACAATTGAGAAAATCTTAATTAATTTACATTTGCCTCAATGCATTTCCACTTAAATAAATCGGTTTATTTTTTTTTTTCCAAATTTAATTATCTTCAAAAATAAATTATATCAGCTATTTAAGCCGAATAATTCAACATATAAACTGACTTTGACTTAGTTCTAATAACCCCATTTTTCATAAGGATTAAACTTTTAACAATTGCAACTCCCAAAACTTGCCTATCGAAAAGATCTGAATCTGATCTCTTCTGGTGTCGTAACAAACCCTTTGTTTTTTTTTTTTTAAAAAAAATGATTACGATCTAAAATATTACTATTAACTAACGTTATTATTTAAATAGAACCCAAGTGATGATTAAAGTCAACCCTTTTTACTTATTTAATTGTTCCAATAATTTATAGATGCTGAAAAATATCAACTTTGCGACTTGTGACTATGACTACAAGTTAATTGAATAATGAATGTAATTATATAATTTTTAGTCATGTGGTTGTTCAATAATGATATGTTACTCGTTGAATATGCTCTTTCTTGATATTAATCTATATTTTAAATATTATTCATATAGTGATTGCAATTACATAAATGCATTAAACATTTACATAAAATCTTTCTATAATAAACATGGTGTAGAGCCCTCCACATGTGTGTATATAGCAACTTTTTACATTTTTTTACATAAATTTTCTCTTTTATGCTTCTAAATATATTTTATAAAATTATTTTAAAATATAATATAATATATATATATATATATATAATTCAAGGTATCTAAGATAAACAGCCAAATATAAATTAGCAAACGAATTAAGAGAGGCGGGGGAGGGGGGTTATTTCTTAATGGCTAAAAGGTACTTATTTTTAATTTCAAATACAAAACAATATTCAATAGTATGATTTTCAATAAAAATATATTATTTTATCTTATAGAATATAGTATCAAAATAATATTTAAATAAAAATATTAGTTAATGGTGATTTCCTAGTAATAAAGTTTCGGCCGTTAACTAATAACCGAATAAGATTAATTATAGAATTTTTGAAATCATAAAAAAAAAAAGTTTAGGCAATTTTAAAATAATGAAAGATTTTGCACAAATTTCATAAATTACATATGAATTTTATATTGTTTTGTCTAAATTTTAAATAAAACAAACATAGAATAACTAATCATTATTTAAAACAGATTATCCCAAACACTCACTGCAACTCTAAAAAACAAATCATTTTTTTTTTTTTTCACTAGAATCTCCCATTAAAAAACAGGGACCAAGTTGAGGGTTCAAATTCTATCCCTTCAATTAGCGTTGACCATTCACCAAATACTAATCATAAAAAATATATATATTTTTTTTATATAAAATAAGAAATGATTCCCTCGTTTAAACCACACCATAATAAAAAAATAAATAAAATAGAAATATTCTACTAGCTAGACAAACACACAGACTTTAATGCATACCTCATCATAGTGTTATGTTGTATATCATCGTACTCTCTTATGATCGACAGTCCCAAACTTGGTTGCACACCATAATCATGGCAGAAGTAGCAAAGGCAGATGATGATGTTTTCTACTCTCCAGACTCACAATTTCTGGGAAAGAACACAGATAATAATGGTGAGGAAAACATAAGACTTTGCGTTCTTTCGATGAGAACCACTCTTGAAAAACAAGATCCCTCTGCAAAGGTATTCTCCTAATTACATATAAATCATACATATCGTTTCTTTCTCATATAAAATGTGATTTTCTTCACCATATATCTGCTGCATGATTTCCTACAAAATTCCATTGTTTTCTCTCATAAAACATTACATCAAATTACCATTTAAACCAAATAACAAAACTAAAACTCAACCAAACACAAAGTAAACAAAGGTGATTATCTGAATATTGTGAATTAAGCTGTAAAGTATTGATCTGATCTGATTCTATGGTGTAGAAGGGATCTGATAGAGAACTAAATTGAAGGAATTAAAGGACTATAGTGGCAGATTTCAGATAATGTTTGAAACTGCAATTGATATGTTGTTTTTGTTGTTTACAGGATTTAGATGATTCAACACTGAGAAGGTTTCTTCGCGCACGCGATCTCAATGTTGATAAAGCTGCAACGATGTTGCTGAAATACTTGACATGGAGGCGGACCTTCATGCCAAAGGGTTTCATTACAACATCAGAGATTTATAATGAAATATCACAAAACAAGATGTTCATGCAAGGGAAGGACAAGCAAGGGCGCCCCATTGCAGTTGTTTTTGGCTCCCGTCATTTTCAAGGAGACACAGATGAATTCAAACGTGCTCTAGCTTCGCTACTTCCTTTTTCTATTACTTTTGTCGTATTACATGGAGATTTGATTTTTGCATCTATAAGATTCAATGTAGTACTGATAACTGGTTTTCTCCTGTGTTGCCCTATGGTTGATTTTTCAGGTTTTTTGGCATTTGTTTTGGATAAGCTGTGTTCCAGGTTAGACACAGCCACAATTTTGACTCTAAATCTGTTGATACTACTTGTAATTTTGATTGTCATAGTTCTTTTACATTTCTATTATTATCAATGTATCTTAATGGTGTGTTTACTTTGGATGAATAAGATAAACAATATGATTTTATCCAACCTAATTACACGTTTGCATTATTATAGCCCGGAACAAAGTAAAGCATGAGATAATATTAATATTAAAAGATTATTTTGCTCTTCTTTAATAGCTAACTTAGTATTAATTTTATTATATACTTAATAATTATTTTAGGAATTATAATCTTGTATGATAATCAATTAAAGTAAATATTAAATTATTTTATCATGTCATTATATCATCCATTAGAGTAATACTATGCATTATAATCTCATCCCACAAAGTAAACATATCCTCGTTGCGCATAAGATGAGTACAGAAATATTTATGAAATACTGCAACCTTTTAACATACATAACATGATTAGATATATCATACATATATAAAGTAAAATAGTCAGTCTATCTGTGAATAACATTCAGCATTTCATAATATACGGACTAGCATTACATAGTTAATATCAAAGTAACAAATCATTACCATTAAATAATAATGTAAATTAAATAATATTCTTTTGGTGAATAAGATGCAGAAATTATTGCACTGATATTGTTCAATTGTGGTGTCTAGATGCAATAAAGTGTCATCAAAGTGAAAAAAATTTTATATGCCCAGACTGCATATGGATGAAGGCAGCTACTGTTATTCCTAATTTCATATTTACCTTTTAGCTCTTATTACAAAATCAACACCAGATCCTACCCCTATGTTGTACATCATTACTGATTTGTTAAGAATCAAGAACCATAACCATTGAACACAATTCTTTTGCACATGTCCAAAGGTGTGCCATTTCTGAGAATACCGACTAAATTTCTTATTTATTTCTTAACTAAAATCAGGATGCCTGAAGGACAGGAAAAGTTCACTACTATAGCAGATCTAGAAGGGTATGGCTATTGCAACAGTGATGTCCGCGCAAACCTCACAGCTATTTCAATCCTACAGGTCTAAACACAATCTAAACCACTCAATAAATGAAATCCTCATGTTATTCTGCTAATCAATACATATATATAATATTTTATGACAGGATTACTACCCAGAAAGACTTGGAAAAGTGTTTGTCATTCATGTACCCTACATTTTCATGACCATGTGGAAGATCATTCAACCATTCATCGACAAGAATACCAGGAAGAAGGTATAAGTACAAGTGAAAGTCATTATCCATTTATTTAAAAGGTTCTCGCAGTGCATACCTTTGTTATCTGATCCATTGCTTTTTACTGTGCTCAAGATTGTGTTTGTGGAGAACAGCAGACTGCACGCCACTTTGCGAGAGGACATTGATGAAAACCAGCTTCCAGAGATCTATGGAGGCAAACTGCAGCTGGTTCCAATCCACAATAACTAGCGCTGATCGTCACAAAGATTTTATTGACCCAGAAACACGTCAAGCTTATCACATTAATATCATATATTCATATACGTGACAATGACAGGATAAACTTCATTTTTAAAGCAAGGTGTCACCACCTTGCCCTTGCAAATCTTCATTGTGCAACATTTGCTCAGTTAAGTCAGCCTCCATGAAGTGCAAAAGGCATGTGCAATGCATGATAAGAAAAGAACGCAACAAAAGAAAGTGAATGCTTGAAAAGATTACCTTTATAGCTTCAAGAACAATAACAACTAGTTTGGTTTGAGAACCTCACACTCCCCTGTTTCTCAGCTGATTTGATCCTCTAGAATGCTTTGGAGATTTTTGGAGATTAAGAGTTCTATAAGCATATGCTTAGAATAACCAACATGACATCTCCAAGTCCTACATTAATCAAAATCATTCACAAACTTTATATGTAAATATATCATTTGACAGATTGACACATTGAACTTTTTATACGAAGAAATTAAGTTTAGAAAACTTGTAGGGCCTGAGAACACCAAAAACAGACATGAATGCACCGCAAATTTACCTTAATTGTCTTATCATCCATTTTCCCATCATCAAGTTAGTTTAAGAACTGTGATTTCCATTGCACTTAACTGGACATTTAGACAATAATAGTAACTACAGGTAGACGAGGCCGTCTCAAACCCATGACAACTCTCATTATATGCAGCAAGTATTTTAGCTACCAATAGTCACCACAGGTACACGAACCACTCTCAAACCTATGAAACCGGACCCTATCCCTCACTGTTATTACTCTGTGTAAGACCTTCGATACAATTTTTATCCAAGAGTGGCAATCATAACAAGTTCGCAGATTTTTTGAAATTAATATTTCAGTTCCAGGACTTGACTTTAGGATCCCAAATGCCAAGGCTAGTTTTTCACTGTGATAAATCAAGTTTTCCTCTTTTTCTTCTTCCAATATGTCCATCAAAACCATGTCGCCTGAGGAGATGTAACCCTCCATTTTCGTGCGATGCATCAAAGCTTCTAAGATTCTGTAAATTGATCCAATTTCGGGGTGTGACCTATCACCGGCTTTGAAGTAGTGAATAGCACCATTCAATTCAACCCAACTTTTTCCAATACTCTTATGAACTCCATTCTTGCTCATGCCATGCCTCACTGCTTCAGCATTATCCCATTTCCTAGTGGAGCAATATATATTTGACAATAAAACATAGTCTTCACTACCAAGATGTTTTATTTTTGAAACAACAACTTCTCCCAGCTCAGAATTTTTGTGGATTCTACAAGCACTAAGAAGTGCCCTCCATATGACAACATCAGGTTCCATTGGCATTTCCTGAATTGTTGCAAAAGCTTCCTTAAGAAGCCCAGCTCGCGCAAACAAGTCAATCATCACTCCATAGTGCTCAAGCTGTGGCTGGATCAAGTAATGATTTTTCATCAGGTTGAAGTACTTCTGACCCTCCTCTATAAACCCACAGTGGCTACACGCCGTGAGAATTCCAACAAATGTAACATGATCAGGTGAGATATTTTCCCTTTCCATGGCATTGAATGTTGCAATGGCATCGGCAGCAAGTCCATGCATTGCAAACCCGTTTATTATTGTATTCCATATGGAAATATCCATTCTTTCAACAGAATCAAATATTGATTTTGCTGCTTCAATTCTTCCACACCTCGAGTACATGTCTACGAGGGCCGATGATAATATATAATTCATCTCAACCTTTTGCTCTGTCATTAAACCATGAACCCATTCTCCAAGATCAAGAGCTCCAAGCCTCGAACAAGCAGTTATGACCGATGCAAATGTAAATCCATCAGGCTTCACTGCTGCTGCTAACATCTCTTTGAACATTCCTATTGCATCCAAATAGAATCTGTTTTTTACACATCCTCCAATCATTGAATTCCAGGTGACTACATCCCTAGCAGGTAAAGCAGAAAATATTTTCTTGGCAATATCAGTTTTGCCAATCTTCATGAAATTAGCTATCAACAGATTGGCGGAGACAAGGTCAAAATTTCCGAAGAAGGTTTTACCAAGGAGTTGTACAGCAAGTTCGGGTTTATCATAAGCTATATATACCTTAGTTAACATAGGCAGTAATGGGTGCACTTCATATCCATGTTTGATGATTTCACCATGCACCATCCCTGAAGTTCTAAAATTGCGGGTGCCCTTGCATAATTCAGGAAGATTGGATAGTGTTCGATCATCTGTCAGATAAAGCAAAGGAAGAAAAATCACTTTAAAAGTTCATAAGGCTACATTTAAATAGAAGTTTTAGCACCTCTGATGCTGAGACAGATGATTATATGTCCCAGTGGTCAAGAAGACAAAATAACGAAACTAAGCTGTTATTTATATTAGTCCGAAATGAAGTGTATAAATCAACCTCCAAGATTCCAATGCATGAAAGACTACAGACACATACATAATCAATCTACACATTGTTGTTCAACAATAAGCAATTTACAAAGGAAAAACTTCAAAGGCTCCACTATCACAGTGATCTACCAAAATTAGTTATAAGCAAAGAAAATTTACAAGATTAACCTGAAAACCAGATCTTAAACTATATATATATATATATATATATATATAGTATTAAACATTTCTTTTTACCTACTGGAAAACAGCTGTGCTATCAGTAAACATAGCATATCCGATCGACAATTCTACACATAAAGACCACACTCCAGCAGGCAGAAACGTAAGACATGATGAGACAGCACAGAATCCATTCATCCAATACTTCAACATATAGAGAAAATGAAGTCTGAACAAATCTATTGCCGTGATTCCAACTTCCAAGCGTTGAAATTAGGCAAGAGAAGGCGGCGCTAACCTGACACTGCACAAATTGTTTGCTGTGAAGCAACAATACAATGACGCTTTGGTGCTGAGATAGTTGTCTGAAACAAACGAATCGATGTCCCTAAACAAAATAGTCTCCACCTCGTATATTCACTTCCAATTTTCACCATTCGAATCGCCCCACCGACACCGTAGCTTCCACACCCCCTCCCTTCCCTTCCGCTCCGCTGCGCTCCTCCCCTCTGCTACCATTTTACAGCTGAATTTTGATTTTTGGGCGAGAGAGAAACTGGGGCCAATCCGCCCATTTTCTGGTTGAACTTTTGAAGCCCAAACATAAGCCCAGCCTGGGACTTAATTGGGGCCTGGGGGAATGTTTTCACTTTTCCACTGCAGAGAACGCAGAGTAGCGAGAGTGAGAGTGAGGAAACAGCTAGAAGCGACGATCGTCATTCTCGCCTCCCGCCGTCGATCGTCGCCAGAGGAAGAAGCGCCGTCGTCTCTGTTTCGCCTGAGTGCCGGAGAGGAGAATCTCTCTCTGAAGGAGCTGGCCATCGGAGCCGCGACCGGGTAGAATTCGTGGCGAAGAAGTTCTGATTTCATTGTGGTTCGTCCTCTTCGTTGAATTCTTCACCGCTTTAAGTGTTTTCTCTGTTTCAAGCTTTTCGATTTCTGATTGTTTGTGTTTTATACACAATTTTGAGATTTTGATTCTTTTGTTAATTTCTGCTTCATTTTGATTTCAGTTTGGATTAGCTTGTGTTTCTGATTTGTTTCTACTGCTTGCTTGTATAAATTTGTGTTTACAAGGTGAATTGAAAACTTACGAACGGTTTTTCCTAAAATAACTGTGGAGGTGAACATGATTTCTGATATTTAGACCAACTTCAACCCACTGCAGGTGTTGAATTTGGGGTTGGGGGTTTTCAGTTTTCACTTTACTTTGTGTTATTTTGTTATCTTTTTTTTACGATTTATTGTTTAATTTTATTTTCTTGAAAAATAATATCCTCCCTCCAATTAGAAAGTAATTAACTCCCTCCAATTAGAAAGTAATTAAATACCTGTCCTTACTTTACATCACATCATAATTAAAATACTTTTAACTACTTTTAACTACCTACTATAATTAAAAATGTCATTACACTATTTTTAACTGCCTAGTATAATTAAAATACTTCCAAAAGTCTCATTTTCATAAATAACCATATAACAGTAAAACTATCCCTACCTTTTCATTATTATTACACTAATTCCCACTACTTTTTACACTAATATATTCACAAGGGCAAAAAAGTCATGCATCCTTACTTTTTACCGACTACCAATATAATATCAATATTCCTTAAATTTTGTGTCCAACGCAATAAGAATATACTTTTGGAACGGAGGGAGTATATAATTTTGTATTTTTAAAGTCATATGTAATTATATTTTTTGAAAAATAATGTACAATTATTTTTTCTAAGTGATGTATAATTTAATTTTTTTAAATTAAGTATAATTTATAAATATGAAAAGTTATAGTATAAAATAATATAGAAAAAGAATATACAATGAATATATCTTTTTAAATAAAAATTACAGTTTATAATTGAATTAAATTTACTATAGAAAATCATCTGTATCTTTTTATTGTAGCTGTTGTAAAAATAAAGGAATGGGTTTGAGATAACCTTAGTCCGTAGATAATGGAGTTGAAGTAGTCGGCCTTTTAGATAGGTTTGGTTTTGAAAATTCTGCAAGAAACTATTGGGATTAGACTTATCCCTTTCCCCATTAGTTGTTTTATGTTGTACCAACCTGAGCTTAGTTAAGATTATCTATTTCTTTCAAGAAATGTGATTATTATTTATCTCAAGAAATGTGTTTTTGTTGCTCCAAGTTTAATCCTGACTGAACTTTTCAAAGAGTATACTTGCTATATCATTTTTCGCTTTAGAAGACACTCAAAATTCACTAAATAGTCAACTTATTTCAAGTATTTTACACTAATTTAGAAGAACTACAATATTCCGAGAACCATATATAAAAACGAGAAGAACCATGTAACAGTTGATAAAAATGCTTTGGAATATTTGATCAGAGAAAGGTGCAAATGTTTGTGCACCTTCCACAAGCACATTGCACTTTCACAAAAAGATTTAGGGTGTGTTCGTTTGATAGATTTAGACAAAATTCCACTATTCATCCAAAATTTTCCCCCCAAAAACATCAAATCAAACATCTATTTTTTATTATTTATATTATACTAAAAATCAATTTTACATTCAAAACATCGCATCATCACCTATTTATATCACATCATACAATTATTCAAATTCAAAATTTTTACTATTCAAATTCCAACTCAAAATCCAAACCTCCAAACAAACACACCCTTAGATTATTTTCCCATCTTTTGCTTGTGTTGATTTGTTTAAAACTGCACCTATTGTAAACTAAAATTTCTTGTGTTGATTTGTTTAAAGTTGCACCTTTTTGTAAACTAAAATCTATTGGTTCTTATTGAAATGATCTGGTCATGAAAATGGTAGAACCTGTAGCAAGAAATATTGCAGTAAGTTGTCTGCACATATGATTTCTTTAGGCGTCCTGGCGAATGGATTTATCAAATGCTGTAATTTATAGTCTAACTGAACTGGAAAGACTAAAACAAGTTTTATATTTCAGATCAAAAAAGTCTGGCTTAAAAAAGACCAGAAATGAAATAAGCAGCAGCTCGTCACCATCAACATCTGACATGCTTTAGCCAATATTCAACTAAAGTAGAGACTTCCGCAAAAGAGAACTTCTGAGAACATGAATGCATATATTTCATTTCCATCTCCTTTGAAGTTGCTGCTATTGCATCTCACTTGTGGACTAGGCCTAGCCTCAGGTTTTTGGGTGGCATTAAATGTTTATTCACTTACGTTGATCCAACAATCAGTACAAACACTTCTAATAGTTTGGGTACGTAATCTTCAGATGTTTAATGTGCCAAGTTTGTTTTCATTTTTTTTCTCTTAGTATTAATATTAATATGTGCCTATTCGTGTGTTTCTTCAGGTTGTTGAAGCTTCTATCGTGATCCCTATCTACAGTCTATTTAGGCTCAATCCCGATCAATGCTCTGTAATTTTAAATTTTTTTCAGTTTCTCTTTTCCATCCCTCGGACTGCTCCTTGCGCTGTTGAGTGCACTCACTCTATTCAAATTTCCTCTTTCAGTATATAAAAGCCATAATGAGAGGGCTGTTGAGTCTTCCTGCTGGTTAGCTTCATAACTGCCTTATCTTCCTTTATTTTTCTCCTGTGTGTTTTTGGTGCAAAAATGATTGTGATGACTTAAGTTAAAAAATTTATGACTGACAACATATATGTTACTTAGCAAGGATTATATACATATGTGATATGTTTTATGGGCATGTGCAAGAATTCAGAGTTTTTCTTGTAAAGGCCAATTGAAAATAAAATAGACTTCTGTCACACACATTTGGGATTCCAAAATTGTTATCAAGAATTGTTTGTTAATGATGGTTGATGGCTTAAAAACTCGCATATATGGGATATTTTATTGGAAGAAACCAGTAGACTGTATCATTGGACATGGTGGTTCATGAAATATAACCAGATGAATGAATTTTGAATATATTGAAATTCAAGGCTAATTAGATATGCTTTGTTTACAACATGCTTAGTGTACAAATTTTGGGCCCTTCTGAAGTAATGTTCTGAAAGCAGATATCCATATATTCATACAAAATGTGTTAGTAGTTTATTCAATAAGCACTGCAATTTTTTTTATTGGGGTGTTAAAAGGGTAAAAGGGAGATACTGGGTGAGGATATGCCTCAATGACAAATTAAAGATAATCCATGGTTCTAAGCATCCTTGGCCTGTCCACTCGCTCGCAAAATCAAGGGGCGTGCCCCGTGCATCACATTGGGTGCGGTGGGTACCAGTCACACCTGCACATGTTTGAATTGATTCTATTGGAAAACAACAACTCAACTAACCCTTACATTCCTAAAGCATAAAAACTTTGGATTTCTTACACTGCTAGGAATGTTGTAAAAGTTCTCAAATGTTTTGGATGGATTTATTACTTTGGTACTAGCTAACATACTCACAGTCTGTCTGGCTTCACTTAAATTTTGGTGAGGCTTGATTCTTCAATTCCTCACTGATTCTTCGAAGCTCTAGCTCATGTTACAGTGTCTTGAGAAAGCCGCATGCTGTTAAAGTCTTAATGGATCAGGAGCTATGAAGTCTTTCTTCATATGTTTGTTTGCATGCTGATTCATGAGTTGTTGGACTAGTGTATTCCTTTGGTCTAATAATGTATTTATTGTTTTGGGAAGAAAAATAACATTCAAGTTACTTTTTTGAGTGCTCACTAGTATTATGGATCCTATGATTTTTCTGTTGTAACAAATGTGAGCTAAAAAATTATGTGCTGCAAATAACAGCATTAACTTTGAGGATTTTCATTCTCCTATTATTCTGAAGCTAATGTATCTCTAACTATTTATATTTCTACTGTCATATAGGCTATTTACAGCTGATATATCTTGACTTTTATCTTTTCAGGTGCTCTATTGAATGCTTTTGGAGCGATTATATTGGGTGCACCTGTTGGAATCCAGTATGTGATGGTTATGTCCACTGTTTTACTTTATCCTTTTATTTTGATGCTTCTGTAGTGTTCTATTTCACAAGAATTGATTTGATCAATTTATCCTTCAGCACTCAACAACTTCCCCCATGATTGGAACCTCCTTCAGTCCTCCTGTAATTCGATTCAGAATTGTGAATCCCTTCATGATTTTAGATCTAATTAGCATTCTTATTGTATGGGAATTTTTATGATGCTCCTCGCCATATGTGTGGTTCTGTTTGAGACATCCATGGTGGCATAGCATCTAATTCCAGCATTGGTGAAGAAGATAAACAGAAACAGTTTGAATTTTCATATATCACAGATATATCTGGTGATGCTGATCTGATTTTTTATTGAATACAGGCACTTTATGAAGACAGTTAACTGGAGTCTTCTGATGTCGGTTTTTACAGTATGTACCCCGTTTATGGCACTAACACTGATGCAATTATTGCTTACTTTTAATAGTTTGCTATGTTTCTTATATTATTTGGCAGTTTGCCCCTGCAGCTTCTGTCTATGGCACATCTTGGAATGATTGGCTCCGGATATTTGCTCACACAAAGTCAGTCAATTACTCAGTTAAAAAAATAAAACATCATTAGCAAGTGAGATATTATTGCTCTTGACTCCCCACATCCTTGTTTCTTCTTGCAGGCCTGTTGGATTTACAGATTTTATGATCTCATTTCCTGCATATGGATCAGTTATTGGGGCTTGGTTTGGTGCTTGGCCTATGCCTCTCGACTGGGAAAGACCTTGGCAGGTGCTGGACTTTAGCATAAAATATCTCTCTATTACTCCATGAATGATTAGGATGTAGCTTTAGCTATTATTTCTAGTCTGGAACCAGCTTCAGACATCGTAATCTTTTTTATGTTAGGTATAGCTTGTTTGGATGCAGTGCTGATGATAAAAGTTAAGGCTTTGAGTTGTTAACCAAAGATTTGTATTCAAATTTCTTAAACTCCGTCAGCTTGTCTCGTTGCATCAATCCCATTTAACCTCCATGTCATTTTTCCTCAAAACATTTTATTATTGTCAAAATTGATATATGGAGGAAATCTTAAGAATGGCATGACTGATACATCACCCATATACATAGGTGTGTGTGTGTGTGTGTATATATATATTCCAGTATCAGTTTATATTAGAATTTATGAGCTGAATGTTATCTTCAGTGTGAGCAAATAACTTAGCTAAATTTCAGATTTTCGATTTACTTTTCATGCAGGAGTGGCCAATTTGCGTGACTTACGGGGCCATTCTCGGGTATTTGATTGGAATGGCAGCATCAGTTGGGTTCAGTTTCTTTCACAGTCATCTGCAGCCGAAAAGAAAAGAGGACTAATGGTATTGTGTGCTATTGTTAGTGCCATTTTTCTACATTTTTCTAATGTCATAAATTCCGAGAATTCTGTGCTGTGGAGAATTTCAATCCATTTTTAGATACCACTTTTTTCAATGAATCCCACCACTGTTTTGTAAACTTCTCCAAATTACATCTTTCAACTTTAGCTTAACACATTTTGAGTTGATTCTCAAGGGCTTTAGTACTTAGTATCCTTGCGATTATTCATGTTGTCGGACGGCTACTGCTACCTCGAGTGCCTAGAAATATTCTCCACTAATTCTTCAAGCTTATCAAGTTTTGTTAGGTGTGAAAAAGGAAGTGAGATACTGAAGCCAAGACTTGCTGCCTATCTTCTGGAACAAAAGGTATCTGGTAATCTAAACAAATATGCACGCATACAGACATTGTTTGGATTTGTTCACTCTGTGTGTGTCATTATATATATATATGAATATATATGCATTTTGATTTTTTTTTTTTTTTATATAATAGTTGTTGGATGCAATACTTTATATAAAAAATTGGTATACTTTTATTGACAATCATAGAAGTTGTGCATTACAAAAAAATTGAAAATAGCCATTTCTGGTTTTGGTTTATTAGTTGTTGGATGTAATCTTGCACTTTTTGGTGAAATTTTGTTTCTTAAGTGAGAAGCACTTGTAAGTGCTTGTGAACTTTAGTCTTTTATTAATATATTACAGCAATTTCATTCTCCTGTGCAAGTTGTCGTCAGCCTCCTTTTTTATTAGTAATGTTGGTCAAGTTATTTTGCCGTTAGTGGTAGCGTCGAGTGAATTTGAGACGTGAGGTTGTGAGTTTAAATTCCCGACGCCTCTAAATCTTTCTTCTAGATGTTGCGGCTTTGGTTTCAAATCTATATCTATATATATATATTTGGCGGGCGGCCTTATAAGGTATAAGTAGGGGTGTCAATTCGTGTTATTGAGTCGTGTTCGTGTCGGGTTGAGCCATGAGGATAACAAAAAAATTGTCAACCTGAATCCGATCCGAAATCTAACTTGAAACCCTAGATCCGAACACGACATGAATTCTTTCAGGTTAGGTTCAGGTTGACTTGAATTAGTTTCAGGTCACCCGAAATCCGAACAAACCCGACACGAAACACGTTAAAAAAAATTAAATTGACCTAAAAAATATCATTTTTATTTTAATTTTTATATTATTTTATATTTAAATTAATATAAATATTATAAATTAAAATAATAATAATAAAAATTTCAGATCAACCCGAAATACGATCCGAACACGACACTAATTTTTTTTGTTTCGGGTTTAGATCGATTCGATTTTTTTCAAACCCGAAATATCCAAACCCGAACCTGAAAAGTTTCAGATCGAACGGGTTCGATTTTTCGGGTTGAGTTTACTTTTAACACCCCTAGCTATAAGTTATACTCCCTATTCGGCATATTTGTTTACACTTTTGGGTGGTTCGTTAATTTACTTTATTATTATAGGAGAAAAAGTAAAAAAATTACTCTCTCCGTCATAGTTAAATTGTCACATTTAGTTTAGTTACTTAAAAAAAGTGTATTTAAAAATAATTATGATTTAATAAAAATAATTATAGATTAAAGTTAAAATATTAAATAGTTTAATTAAAATAAAAAATTAAAAATTTTAAAATATGATTAAAATTTATAATTATATTTTCAAAAAATAAAAGAATAAATTATGTAGAATAGATCGAAATAGAAATAATTGATAAATTAAGTAGGACGGAGGGATTAATATTTAATTATTACTTTTTATTTAATATTTATTTATAACAAATACATTGATTTTATTATATTCTGTTTCTTCACTAACTAAAATTTTAAAAATATTTTTAATTACCTTTTTATTTTTCTATTTTTAATAATATATATATATTTTTTTTTAAATTCTTGTACCGACGGATATATATATATATATTTGTGTCTATAAATAAAACTAATATTTCATACATATTTATTGCATAATTCATGAGGTCTTATGTCACTTAAAATGCAGTATGGAATTCCTATATCTATTTTGTACTATGTAATATTTATTGTATGCTTAATTTTGTGTCAGTGAAATTTATTCATAAAACCCTTATTTTGTGCAAAATAATGATTTCACAATTGTGTGTGTTCCCTTGGTGCACTATGTATAATTCAAATTTAAATTTATTGGGACTAAAGTATTGGTTGTTTGGTTTCTGAGTGCTACATGACTTAATAATCTTCACTTTTAATTACATATTTACTTACATATTATAAAAACTTGGAAATATTATTATAAAAATCGTAAGGTTAAGTAAGATAGGTGGTTAATTAAGGCACTTTTGGATTGTTTTTTTTTTTTTTTTTTATCACTCATGTGTAGCAAGTTACACCCTTATATATATATATATATATATTATGACGTGAAAACCTGCTGCTGCTACCCGAAAGTGAGCATAGAGTAAACTCCCGGCCAAATTTGTACTAGCTTTTGAAGTTGAATTTTTTTTTTTTCTAAAAATACTTTAGAAGTAGCTTGAAAAATAAGTTAGTTAAAATGATTGTTTATCTTTAATAATAATAATATAAAACTAATTATTTTATATTTAATTTTAAGAATTAAAATTTTAAAATATAATTGTATTTTTATTTTTATTTTATAAATTATATTTAAATTAAATTTAAATACCAAATTTACCATTATAAATTTTAAATTACACTAAGAACTTAAAATTATTTAATATAATTTATAAAATTTTATGACAAGTATAAAAATACAAACAATTTAATATTGAATTGTAATTGTAATTGTAATTTTATTTTTAATTTATATATTATTTTTAATTAAAATTTTAAAATATAGGTTACTAAATTTAAAAATATATATTTTTTATACTATATAATTGTAAAGTTTTTAAATATAATTAATAAAATTTAAAAATAAATTATAAAGATTCTAGAAAAAAAATAATTATATTAACACATTTTTTTGAATAATTATTATAATTTAAATAGACTTTTTATTTTATTACATCCTTTATAAAAATTTACTAAAAACACAAAAGTCAAATGCTTCTACTTTTGAAAACGATCCATAAGTCAAATTGTTTAAAAAAAAAAAAAAAAAAAAAAGATTGTATATGAATCCGAAGGGACTCAAAATATGTCTTCATTGGCTTTTTTTTTTTTCTCAATTTATTTTAAATTTGACTCAAGTTAAGATATTTTTATTCGGGTGGAATGGTTCAATTCACGAATGAAAGGGGTGGTTTGGCAAACAGTTTATTTAACATTTTTTTAGCTGTTTGACCGGTCAAAAAATTAATTTAGGTGTTTTAGTAAATTAGCTTTTTGTAATAGCCTATTGGCCCAAAAAATTTAATTTCTGAAAAGTTATATAGCATAACGTTTTGGAAAAGCTTGTTCACTTCAATATTTTTTTTATTTCTTATTTACCCTTCAAATGTTATTATTTATCTCACATACATATATATATATATATATTTTACCACAGTCATTATAAATTATTTTAATATATTATTTATTAAATTATAATGTTATTTTTATAAATTTAAATTAATTAATTTTATTTGGAAACTATATATTCATTAAATAAAATAAAAACAAAAACATAAATATTATTACTTTATTTTTATATTAAAATTAAATAAAAAGAATAAATTTATTAAATATAATAAATTAATCAATAATTAATAATAAATATATATACAAAAATTTTATTATTTTATATTTTACATCATTCTTAATAAAAAATATTCATATTTCTTATCAAACTTTCTCACATCTAAAATTAATAAAAAATATTTTATAACACATTCGTAATTTCAAATAACTAATAACAAAAAATTTTAAAACTAAAAAACACAATTAAAAATTTTAAAAGTTATAATATAAATGTCTTCAATTGTCATTTTACATATAAATAGCTAATATCAAACTGTTATTTTACCAAACATTTTAATACAAATAATTAATTAAATCAGTTAATTAAACCAGCTAATTGAATAAGTTAAACGTTAACAGTTAATTGAATCAACTAACACCTAAAGCTATCGGCTGAATGTCAAACACATCCTTAAAATCAATCAGAATTCTATATAAATGAATCAAAGTAATTGTTTGTATTTTGACTTTGTTAGAGAGTTCAATTGAATTTAGGATTGGATCTTAATCTACGACATGCTCTTTTTGTTTCTCAATTAGTAAAAAAAAATAATAATGTTTTACAATGTGTTCATCGGATAAATTCAAATCATAATATGATCAATGTATTCGATCTATTGTATATTGTCTTTAGATGCATTTATTATAATTATTATTTTTTTCTTATGTTGTCTTCAATATTGAATGTAAAATTAATTTGATGATATCTAAAATTACTCATGTCAATTATTTATGATTATATATATTTTTTCACATGATTATTTTTACAATTGTATCATATGTAATAAAATATGACCAAAAATTTGTCAAAGTGATAAAATTATGTATTTTTATTTTTTATTTTTGTATTTATAATCATTTAATTTTATATTTTGACAAAGATGCTTGGGTAACATGTCCTAAATAAAATCTAGTATCTATTCTAGGAAATTTTTTAACCAATGAATAGAGTGATTATCACGTTATAGTTGGTGGTTAAGGTTTTAATAATTTTAGTTATTATGATTTATTGCATAATTTTATCTCAAAAGAATGGATTCTTCATATAGGTATGAAAATTAATAATAAAAATTTAGATGTAAGATTTTATTCTTTGGATTTGATATTAAAAAATGTACCTAACTTAAAAAAAAAATAGCAAATTTATTGATATAATATTTTTGTTGTTGTGCTGAAGGTAAATGAAACATGATAAATGAGATGTCAATGAGAAAAATTTTACACATCGAAACTAAATTTGAGTGTTCAGAAAAAATAAAAATACCTTTTTAATTAAAAAAAATGAGGTTGTGAAATTCACGCTAAAGCATAAATATTATTTATCTAAAGCAGGTGCAACAAACTTATTTAAATCACATAAGAAAATAAAAAGTCATCTATTAAAATTGAAATAGCAGATAAGGTATGTATCTCATTAAAGATATTTCATAATTATATGATCAAGCAAGCATGCGATTAAGATAATATAGGATTTACTTCTCAAAATAATAAAAATTATTTACATTCAAAGAAATCAAGGATATGAAAATTGGAGATATGAAATGAGTATTTGAATATTTACAAGAAATACATATAAAAGATCCAAATTTTTTTTACTCAATTCAAGTTGATAACGATGATGTAATAACCAATATATTTTGAACAAATAAAATAATGAAAGTTGATTGTATTTTCTTTGGAGATATGATATTCTTTTAGAGGATTTGTATTATTCATCCAAACCCCCAAACAAACACACCCTTGTACAACTTATGGAAAAATTTAAAAAATCTTCCTCTTGCATTATTTGTTTGTGTGTATCATCACAAATAAACTACTCCTTTTTGTTATGCACTTCTATATGATAAAACTATTTAACATATTTTCTTGTAAATGTTAAATGAAAGGTCAAATATTATTTTGACCAGTGAAAATGCAACAATTGACAAAGCCATAACTTCTAAATGGCCAAAGCACATCACAATTTCTGTATTTAATATATCTACCAAAATACTGCTAAATATTTAGATGAGATTTTT